TATATATTCTTTTCTTCACCCTCTTCCAAGTGCATAAAGAACATTGACTAATCCAAAGTTTGGTCCCTAATTCATTGGTTAAGCTAGGAGGATACCGACTGCCACTCCAGAGCTCCTACTATTCCCTCACCTGAGGGCTAACAATCTTGCATTAGTTTCCAATCAACTGAACCAAATTGAGGATTTTAATCTGTCACCTTAAAATCTCCAATTTTGCATCCAACAAAGTATATTTCTCTATTTATTTGCACTTAACCTCAGGGATGACATCCTCTCTCATGGAATCAAATGTGATTCATAGCCCTTTCAGAACATATGTTTCTTAACACATTTTAACATTTCAATTGGCCAGATCGAAAAATAAATGAAGATCGAAGTTCAAATCATCACAAATTATTGACATTTAAAACCGTATAAAACAAAATCAATTCTTCACAAAACCATATCTCAATGTAGGGAGAAGGATAAAGAAGACTACTTAGAATTCATGAGAAGGAAACAACAAAACACGAATTTCATATATAAAAACAAGTTTACAAAAAAAAGAAATAAAAGAATACAACTTATCTCACAATCCTTCCCAAACAAATCCCTAGAAGTTCTCTTCAAGCACTTTCTCCTCTTTACAAGCACTCTCAATTCTCCCTTAGAAGTGTAATGAAGAAGAAATTTCTCACATTCCCTCTCCTCTTACAATCTTTGAAAAAAATCTCCAAGCCCTTGACTTTCTCTCTCTTTCTCTATCTCACGCCACTCTCTTTCTTCAGCCCCCTTTTCACGCACACACACTCTCTCTTTTATTAGAGGCTGCCTCCCTCTAGAAGGAAATCAAAATTACCTCCAAAATTCTGTCTAAAAGTTAACTCTTTTGAATTCAAAAGACATGTATATTGATCCAAGAGACATATCCCTTCATAAAAGAATCTTCCAAAGTGTTTAGATGCATTGAATCACTCCATGGGGCGTTTAGAACAAGTGTCCTTTTCAAAATTCGTGCAAAATTCGTCTCGAATAGCCTTAATACACAAAAATTCGTCTCTGGCGCTTCAGGCTCTAGTTCTGCTGCTTCAGGCGCCAACTTATTTAAGACTGCGTTGTTCTGAGTTTTGGCGTTTCAGGCATCAGCTCTCTGTCATATGGCACTTCAGGCGCCATCTCTCTGTAAAGTGGCACTTTAGGTGTCATAATCACAAAATTCGCTGTTTTGACGCCAAATTTCATTTTTTTTGTTACTTTTGTTCCAAATGCCTAAAATTTATATACCTGCAAGAAAAATATGAAAATATCATTTTTTAAAGTGCAACATAAAAAAAAATAAACATAAAATGTATACTTAAAATAACATATTATTTTGGTGTATCAAATAACACCAAAATAACAACTCAATAACATCACAATAATACCACAATATTATCGCAATAACACTATAATAACACCAGTCGATAATACCACCATAGAGCTGTTGCAATACCACTCAAGTAAAACAACAATAACACCTCAATTACATTATAGTAATACAGCAATACCACTCAAGTAAAACAACAATAACACCTCATTATAGTAATACCGCAAGAATACCTTAATAACACCATAATAACACCAACGAGAATACCATTACAAAGCCGCGATAATACCTTTCAAATAATATATATTTTTATAGCACAATAATGCCGCAATAATATTGCAATACTACCATAATAATGCCAGTTGAGAATACCACCATAGAGTTGTAATACCACTCAAATAACACCGCAATAACACAACAATAACAAAAAAAGAATCATCATAATAACATGAAAATACTCAAAATAAAATCCAGCATGAAATCAACATAAACCTCAAAAAACAACAGTCAAATACCACCACAATAGCAACAATAACACAATACGAACACTAATCGACTAACACTCTAATAACGCCACAATACCACTCCAATAATGCCACAATTACACTCAAATATGAATAAAATACAAGCTCAATCTCACATCAATACAACTACAATACAAATCCATTAACACCATAAACTACTAAAATAACACCAGAATAATAGATAGTACTACCAAAATAAGATCACAACACAAAAAAATTCACCAATAACATTAAATCCCGCTAAAAAAAAACCACTACCCGAATAACTTTACTTCCATAAAATCATCACAAAATACACCAGAAAAATAACATAATATCATTGATTCAAATTACAAAAGAAATCAAACAAATATAAATTAATGTCGACATTTCAAACACAGCTAAACTCACCTCAATTTCAAACATCTCATCATTTTTTTCAGATTCCATCATCAATATTTCTTCTCCTGCAAGAGAGACAGAGACTGTATTAGCTATGCATCCGGTGTTCGATAGTGCGAGAGATATCAAATGAATCAAATCATAGCTACCAAAATCGTATGTGAATAATGCTCTGTGAAACTCTACCTGATGATGATAAAAAAAAATGAAGATTGGCTCAGCGCGAGGATTTTATTTTCGAAGAAATGGATTGGAACATAACCAATCTTGTATTAAAATATAGAGCTTTTTCATATTTGGTCTGCCGGTTACAAGCCTCAAACCCTAAATTCTGAACACTAAACCCTAAAATTCCACAAATTCAGCTAGATTCGCCGCCCGTCTTTTGTTGGTCGATTTACTCCCGGCCAGTGCTCGGCTGCATTCACACTCTCACATAATTTGAGACGTAAGGTTTCTTGCAGCGCAGCTTTCGCAATGGACGTGGACTCTGAGTTGAATCGTAGTAAACCTGTTGAGGTTGACATGGAAGAATCGGGGGCAAGAGAGGTACATGCTCTTTTTTTTTGGGTCCTCCTCTTCACTTGAATGCTCTCGTAATCGCCGATTCTGTACTGTTTTGTTTTCTCAAACTCAAAGGGCAAAGAAACGGAATTATCGGATTCTATGGAGAAGATGAATATATCCGAGCCTCTGGAGTCTTCTTCATCTGGTATTAACTTCAAGAGGAAGCCCGTCATCATCATTGTCGTGGGAATGGCTGGTGAGCGCTAGCTTCTAAAGATTTTGGTCTTAGCGTTACCTGTCGTTAGGTAATGGAACGGGTTTTTCTTTTTCAGGGAGCGGAAAGACTACTTTTCTACACAGACTGGTTTCTCACACTCAATCGTCCAATATCCGAGGATATGTTATTAATCTCGATCCAGCGGTCGTGAATCTTCCCTTTGGTGCAAACATTGATATAAGAGACACTGTTCGCTACAAGGAAGTCATGAAGGAGTACAATCTCGGTCCGAATGGGGGAATTCTAACATCACTCAATCTTTTCTCTACCAGATTTAATGAGGTATTTCTGATTAAAAGTCATCTATGTTGCATCGGGAAGTATTTGTACTGAACCACTGAAGATTTCTTTCTTGCTTAGGTTGTATCTCTGATTGAGAGGCGTGCTGATCAACTTGATTATGTTTTGGTGGACACTCCTGGGCAAATTGAGATATTCACTTGGTCGGCTTCAGGAGCTATAATAACAGAAGCTTTTGCTTCTACGTTTCCCACAATCATAACATATGTGGTTGATACTCCACGGTCATCTAATCCAGTCACTTTTATGAGTAACATGCTCTATGCATGCAGCATTCTATATAAAACAAGGTTGCCTTTGGTCTTGGCATTTAACAAGGTTGATGTAGCCAAACATGAATTTGCTCTGGAGGTATATTTTGCTTAACTGAATGAAAATAAAATGAACATATATCGATTTTCTTACTTTTTTTTCTCAAGTTGCAATGTATTAATAAGGGACATTTACATACATAGCACACAATTTTTATGTATTTACATATCTCACACCTAAATTTTCATATTTACACACAACACTCGAATCTTGAATATCATTTAAAAAATAGCACTATCACCACTTTTAAAAAGTGAAATACACTTTTCATGCTTTGTATGTAAAAATAAAGGCTTAGGTGTGAGATGTCAGATATGTAAATACATAAGAAATTTTTGCTAGCTATGTAAAATTCCCTTTATTTTCTTGTAATCTATGTCGTTGCCTCATGTACAGGCTTCTTAAATTGCAAGTAATCATATAAATGTTGAGAAACTATATTTTTTATCCTTCTTTTTGTTATGAAAGATATTGAAGGAAATTGCTCTATCAAACTCTTTATTGCTATCTGCGACATGAAAATATGAGATGTCTCGAATGTCCGGTTTTTTAATTTTAGTGGATTATAGAAACATTGCTTAATTATTCTTGGATTGGTGCTCTTAAAGTCTAATTTGTGCAAGGTAAAAAAAAAGAACAAAGCTAATACTGTTATGTGAAATCTTTAAGATGGTATCATATATATCAGGCATTAATAGACCACTATTTGGTTTGTTATCATTGCTTGAGAAGCTTCTATGGTAATATAGTCTTGGATAAAAAAAAAAAAAGACCTACTAAACTTTTTGGTGTTTGAAATTTTAAGTAATGCACGTATCGGTTGGCAACAAAGACTTACATCCTCATAAATGGGAAGGAAGAGTAAATCCATAAATGGAGGTTTTCTTAGATGAAGTCTTACAAAGTTTAATATTTGAGATATTATTGATGTGATTTTAAGGAATAATATATTTGGAAGATTATAATGAATCAAATAATTAGATAATTCATAGATTTATTCAAAAAGTGAAATATAATTAATTGTGAAGAAATTACATAAAGTAAAATTTCAGGTCCATATGAAATAACAATTGAGATTTAGAGAGCTATGTGATACTATTTAAGTTTGATTAATAAATTTATATAATATATTTTTTAAAACAAAGAAGCAGAATGATTAGAGAAGAAGCATTTTGGTACCAATATTTAAAAACAAATGAGATTTTTATGATTGCCATAATTATAGATGGTTTTGAGTCATACAATGAAGATATAGAGAGAGTAATAAAACATAGAGACCATAGACTTGAAAAAAGATGCCAGTTTTAGATAATTAAATTAGTTTCATATTAGGAAGATCTATTATGAAAGCAATTTATGTTTTGAGATTATTAATAAAAAATTATTGTGGATAGGTTATTTTAATAGTTTTTTATTGCATTTGAGAAGGCATATTTGAGTATCGTGAAGATTGATTTGATGCTTATTTAGAATTTTTATTAAATATATACATGATGAAACACTAACTTGTATTAGAAATGATTGTGAATGACCTATGAGTTTTCAATCACATAGGATTACATTCAGGGTCAACAACAAATTTAATTCTTTTTATATTGGTTGTAGATATGCTTATAGAGGATCTTCAAAGTATCATAAGGGCGTTTGGTTTGTTGAAAAAGTAATGTAGTGTAATATGAATGCAATGCAAATGTAATATATAGTATTTGAAATATTTTGGAGTTACTTGTTTTAGTGTAAAATAAACTTACAACTTTTGTTTTTTTCTTTTTTTTTTTGGTTTGAAGTAGAATAAAAAAAAATACTGCCATTGCCGGTCCCAAACTCAGATGTGAAAAGTAGAGGGTTGTGTTAGATAGTTGACAATCAACGTAAAACTTGTAAAAAAATCTTGACATGAATCCTTTTGGCCATTGTATAGGTGCTAGGACGTCCCCTAGAAGCGACTCGCTGTATGGTCTGAATACAGTGAAAAATGTGTAAGGGCCGCTGTACCGGCTCTCGGGTGTAGAGTCAAATAAGCAAGGGTTCCCAAATAAGCAAGGGTTCTCAAATTATGGACGAATGCGGGTAAAGAAGTTAGTCCATGAAACTAATAAAACTAATATTATGATAGAATCTTGGAATATAGGTACTCTCAATGGTAAGTAAATGAAATTAATTGATATTATGATTCATAGAAAAATTAATATCTTATGTATTCAAGAAACTAAATGGGTTGGAGAAAAGACTAAGGAGATTGATAACTTAGGTTTTAAATTTTGGTATTCTGGTAAGAGTCGCACTAGAAATAGTGTAGGCGTACTTATAGATAAAAGTTTGAAAGATAATGTTATAAAAATTAATAGAGTTGGAGATAAAATTATAACCCTTAAGATTATTATTGAAATTAAAATTTTTAATATTATAAGTGCTAATGCTCCTCAAGTAGATTTAGATATAGGGTTTAAAGATAAATTCTGGAATGACTTAGAAGACTTAATATAAATGATACTTCTTGAAGAAAAAATTTTTATTGGAGGAGATTTAAATGGACATGTCGGTAGAGTGGTATAATTCAAAAATATTCATGATGGCTACGGTTTTGGAGTGACTAACGAAGAAGTTAGAGCCATTTTAGATTTTGCTTTGGCGTATGATTTTGTTATTGCTAATATTTTATTCAAGAAAAGAGATGAGCATTTTATTAGCTATAAGAATGAATCTAATAAAACATAAATTGTATATTTTCTTATGAGAAGAAGTGAACGTCGTGATTGTAAAGATTGTAAGGTCATTCCAAGTAAGGATTTAAGTACCCAACATCGATTATTAGTTCTAGATTTTAAGATGAAGAGTTGTAAAATAAAAAATGCTGGGACTCATCATCATAAAATTAGATGGGGGAATTTAAAAGACGCAAATAAAATTATTTTTATAAGTAAAATTCAAGATTTCAAAATTTGATATTTTCATGAAGAAACAAATTCTATGTGGGATAAAGTAATGTATACTATTAAATAAGTAGCTACTTGGATCACACTCTAATGAGACTAAGGTTGATGTCAACCCTCCACCTGCTCTCCTTTATCTGCTGCAAGGAGATATTCTAAATGTCCCCCACATCAGAATGGCCTACAAAGACAAATGATTACTGTGGGGGCAGATGCAATCATACACTCTTTTCTGTCTGTTGAGTCACTGTAGTTTTTTATTTTTGGGGGGTGACATTTAGCCTTTTTTGGGATATTTCCTGGGTTCCTGTATTGAACCAAAAAGAGGAGCCCCCAGCTCCCTCTCTGATGTCTGTACTAGTCATTTTCACTTCAACATGTAAGGAGTCATAAGAAACATATATATATATATATATATATATATATAAATTAGCCAAACAAAGAGATAAGAAAAGTATATTTAACTCAAGAAAAGTGTATTAAAGATGAAAATCAAAAAGTACTTTCTTAGAAAAAGATATTCAACATAGGTGGGTGAGTTTTAATGAAGTTTCTGAAAATGAAGTTTCTGAAAATACGATCGTTCTTAGTGATCTTAATATCGTTAATAATAATAAAAAATTTCATTTTTACAGTTGCATTAGTAAAAAAAAAGTTGAGGTGTTTTAAAGAAAACCAAGGGTGAAAATTCTGTAGGATCTGATGATATTCCAATTGAAATATGAAAATATTTAGGAGATTTGGGAGTTTCTTGGCTACTAAACTCTTTAATATTATTTATTTAAAAACTAAAAAGATGCCTGAGGAGTGGAGGAAGAGTATTTTGGTACCCATTTTTAAGAATAAAGGGGATGCACAAGAGTGCAAATTATAGAGGAATTAAGTTGATGTGTCATACTTTAAAATTATTGGAGAGGGTAATTGAACATAGGTTAGGACGTATTGCAAAGATTTCTCATAATCAATTTAGATTAATGTCTATGGAAGCTATACATTGATTGAGAGGTTTGATAGAGAAGTTCAGAGATATTATGGAGGATCTACATATGGTTTTTATCGATTTAGAAAAAGCTTACGATAAGGTTCGAAGAGATATCCTTTGGAGGGATCTTGAGAAGAAAGGTGTAGATATGACTTATATTCAAGCCATTAAAGATATGTGTACTAGAGCTGTTACTTGTGTTTGAACTGAAGGAGGATTGACCAAATATATTCTTATTTCTGTAGGATTACATCAGGGATCGGCTTTAAGTCCATATCTTTTTGCTTTAGTTATGGATGGTTTTACTGGACATTTATAGGAGGATGTACCTTGTATGCTTTTTGCTGATGATATCCTTATCGTGGATAAGACGAGAGAAAAAACCCAGGGAAAAACTTGAATAATGGAGGTTCACATTGGAGTCTAAAGGCCTTCATTCGAGTAGAACTAAAATTGAATACATGGAATGTAATTTTAGCAGTAGTAGCTCTAGTGACAGAAGTGTAACTTTGGGTGATCAAATTATTAAAAGGTGAACGATTTAAATATCTCGGGTTTGTTGTTCAAAGCGATGGTAATATAGATGAGGATGTTAATAGTAGAAATCAAGTTGGTTGGTTGAAGTGGAGGAATGCTTTGGGCCTTTTGTGTGATATAAAAGTATCGCTTAGATTGAAAGGAAAATTTTATAAGATGGTGGTGAGACCTGCAATGCTCTATGGCGCTGAATGTCAGCCTTTAAAAGAGAAGCAGTATACTAAGTTATGTGTTGTCGAGATGAGAATGATTAGGTGGATGAGTGGCTTTACACTTAGAGACAAAATGAGAAATGATTATATTCGTGATAGGGTTGGTGTTGCTCCAGTGACAGACAAAATTAGAGAGCAGATGGTTTGGTCACATTAAACGTCGACCATCTGATGATCTAATTAGCAGAGTAGATGTTTTAGATTCGAATTATGTTAAGAAAAGCAGAGGTAGACCTAAGAAGACGTGGGCCTATTGTATAAAAAAGAATCTTAATTTATTAGAACTAAATCAAAATATGACACTTAATATGATGCAATGGAGAAAAGGGATTCATGAGAAAAGGAGAAAAGGGATTCATGTAGCCGACCCCACGTAGTTGGATTAAGGCTTTGTTGTTGTTGTTTGAAGGGGAATAAAAATAATATATTTCAAATTATATGAGGTATTACATAAATTATTGGCAACCAGAGGCGTCAGGTGACATGTGGGGCAGTTTATAGGGCGGAGAACGACTTGCAACAGTCTTGGTTGGCAAGTGGGTTGGGTGGCGCCACTACTGCAACAACGAACTGCGGGCGGTGGTGGTAGCCTACATCATTTTACACAGAATTGAGTACTTGGAATTTGTTCTATCTGATTTCGAGTCGGCACTGGATCAACTCAAAATCGGATCCTCTTACTCTACTTTAGAATGAGCTCAATAGTTGCTAATTATGTGATTTGCAATTTTTGTGATTGTAATATTCTCTATTATTAATCAATATTGTTAGCAAATGTAATAATTTTTAGTTGTGCTAGCTTCAAGTATCTTGGATTTATTATACAGAAGAATAAATATATATGAGGCGAAATCTTCTAATATTATGTGATAAAATTATTTTATGGAGACTTAATGATAAATTCATTAAAGTAACAATTAAGTCGAGCATTTTTTATGAATTCAAAATTTGAACAGTAAAAAATCGTTGATGACTAGGTTGAGCTTGACAGGATGGGTGTGTTGCACAATTGGGAATGCCAAGAAATAATTATGTTGAAGTTATTGCTATTGTGTCATATTTTGAAGAAAACATAATTGAAAAGAGAAGGATGGTTTATACATGTAACAAAATGTAGAAAATTCAACTACAGATAGAACGATTAAATTTAGGCTATATGATTTTGAAGAAAAGTAGAAGATTGAAGGTAATCATTGATAAAAGTTCATTCATAATTATTTTGTGAAGATATGTTTATGAATTCAGGCAGCAATCAATATAAACAAATGAAAAACGTGGATTTGTATATCCAAGCCCAATTAGCTTGGATAAGATGATAATATAGCGAAGCTGTAATTGCTAGATATCATGCGGCCTTTTAATCGCATTAAATTAAATTTCTTTCGGTTTGCCTGATTACGATTTCTGTGTATTTCTATACTCATGCTTGGCTGTGAAATGTGACAAAAAGATATTATGGAAAAGCAGTGGATGCAAGACTTTGAGGCATTTCAAACTGCTTTGGATTCTGATACTACATACACTTCAACTTTAACGAGAAGCCTATCGCTTGTACTGGATGAGTTCTATAAAAACCTTCAATCAGTCGGAGTTTCGGCAGTGTCTGGTGTTGGAATGGATGCCTTCTTTAATGCAATTGAAGCCAGTTCTAAAGAAAAAAAGCTTTGGTTTAATACATGGAGAACTACAAGTATTTATCTTTTTTTTTTCTCTTAATTATTTGAGGACTTATATTTTTCTGGGAAGATTTACATGCATACCCCTGAATTCTTTTGTTTTTACATATGTAGCACCTAAATCCTTGTATTTCATATTCGACGCCTTAATATCTTAATTACATGAAAAATGCCTCTAATGCTAACATATGCAAAGTGAAATATACTTTTTCATGCATAATTTTTGATGTGATTTAAACATTAGGGTGTTAAAAATTAAATATAAAAATTTATGAATTAGATGTGTAAATAGATAAGAATTTATGGTATGTATGTAAATTTTTTTAAATTTCTACATAAAATTGCATTGTTTTGTAATGTATTCATGTGTTCTTCCTAATTTTGCAGAGCTGATCTTGACAATAGGCGGGCAGAGAAGGATAAGCTTGAAGCAGAACGTAGAATGTTAAACATGGAAAAGCTAAGAAATGACGTGGAAAAAACCAAAGGGCAGACTGTGGTGCTGAGTACTGGGTTGAAAGATAAGAAGAAGATGGATGAAGATGAGGACGAGGAGGAAGAAGAGAACGATGTGAATCTATTCTCTGAGGAGGATGATGAAGAAGATGAAGGAGAGGATGAAGAGGTTGCTCATTTTGCTTTCTAAAGGTTTGATTATTTTATTTAATTTTCCATTTGTTCTTGCAAAGGCTATATAAATTGCATTAAATCAAGTTTTACTAGCCTTTTGAATAATTCTAATCATTTTATCCCTCACCATATTTATATAACCCATTGGTTGTGGATTGGTGCTACTTAACCCCGCACTTCTAATGCCCCCTTTGTTGATCTGATTCTCTTCTTGATAATTTATTTTTAGTGTCCAAAAGTTACAATTTATTTGGGGAAATTTACATGCATTGCCACTCAATTCTTATGTATATACATATCTCGCACTCAAAGTTTGACCCTTGAAACATCTTGGTGTCATAAAACTATGCACGAAAATGTGTATTTCACTTTTAAAAGGATAATGATGGTGGTTTTTTATTTGAAGCTAAAGATTTGAATGGCATGCCATCTAAATATGAATGTTTAGGTGTGAAATATGTAAATACATAAAAAATGTTTGGTAAATGTATGCAAATGCCCTCCGTTTTCTTTTAATGGTGAGTGATAAATCTCAAAATATGTTGTGTTTGAATTCATCTCCTTCAATCAATGGGACATGCTTCATAATTTTGTTTCCTTATCATAAATTAGGAATATTGTACAGTGTAATGATTTGAACATCTTATATATTGAATTACTAACTCATGTTGAAATGTGCTATTGTGATAATTACAAATTGCAGGTTCCAGCTTGATAAACTCCTGTATCTGTGTTCCATATAGATGAAAGTGAGCTTTTTCTTGATCCTTGAAATCTCTGGAGGCACATGTAAAGCGTTTCTGAACTGATTTCTGCCCATTGTTTACAGTTCATTAGATTTGCTTTCTGTAAAACTGGTGGATTTGTAATATATTTATGGGCGCTGCAATTTGCTAAATATTGTCAGCCATTTTATAGCTCTTGAACAAATTTGAGCGGAGGTTATAAAGGTTTTGGATGAAGTGATGGGGCTCTTATTAGTTACAATTGGGAACTTAGAGATGCTCATCTTATGCCTTTAGTTAAATAGCCCATATGAATTAATATATAAGATTATGGGGTCTGTTTGGGACAATTTTGTAAAGGTTGTTATAAAGTTATGGTGGGAAGTTAATTATCATTTTGATATTTGTGTCATCTAATGTTCATGTGTTGTAGAAATATAATAAAATTATCAAAAGCTAATCAGGTTTACAGCATATATGAAATAAATTAGTTATCTGTCTTAGCAATTGCGCATAATAAAATAGACTCTTTGGACTTGGTCTTTTTTTCAAAAAAAAAAAAAAACCCCTTTGTGACTCGCAAGGTTTACATGGTCTATAGCTTAGATTGTAACCGGTCAAGTCATTCTTGTGCACCAACCGGTTGAGCAGGGTTTTAGAAAAGAAAAAAATGTGCTATCATTTCATGATGTTAATGTCATAATAATATTGTTTTATTAGGAGTAATGAAGCATTCGGCACTTGTTTTAGTCGTAATAAACATTTAGCAGATCTTTATAAAAATAAGCATCATTCTTAATTAATAATTAAGAATTTTGTGACCAGTTAATAGTAGCGAAATAGAGATGTCATTATTAATAAGATCATCAACAACAACAACAAACCCTTATCCCACTAAATGGGCCCGGCTACGTGAATCCTTTTTCTCCATTGCGTTTTGTTTAGTGTCATATTTTCATTTAATTATAATAAATTAAGATTATTTTTTATACAAAATGCCAAATTCTTTCTTTCTAGGTCAACCTTTGCGTTTCTTAGCATAAATCAAATCTAAGACATCTACTCTCCTGACTGAATTATCAGATGTTAGTTGTTTAATGTGATCAAACCATCTAATATGACTCTTTAATTTTGTCCATCACTGGAGCTGCAACAACCCTATCATTTCACATTTTTTTTCTCCAAATGTAAGTCTAGTCATCCACCTAAGCATTCTCATCTCAGCAACACTTAGTTTTATCTTCTTTTTTAAATGCTAGCATTCAATGCCAAAGAGCATTGCAAGTCTCACAACCATCTTATAAATTTTTTCTTTCAGTCTAAGCGATACTGTTCTATCACACAATAGACCGGAAGTATTCCTCCACTTCAACCAACCAACTTGAATCTATTAATATCATCCCCATTTATATCACCATCACTTTGAACAATAGACCTGAGATATATAAAGTGTTCACATTTTTGAATAATTTGATTACCTATAGTTACAACTCTCTCACTAAGCTACTACTACTAAAATTACATTCCATGTAGTCAGTTTTAGTTCTACCCAAACGAATGACTTTGGACTCTAATGTAGACCTCCATAATTCAAGTTTTTTCTGAGTGTTTCCTCTAGTTTTATCAACAGGAAGGATATCATCAGCGAAAAATATACACCAAGGTACATCCTTTTGTAAATGTTGAGTAAAAGCAACCATAAACCCTAAACCCTATCTGTTCAATAAAAGCAACCATAACTAAAGCAAAAAGATATGAGCTTAAAGCGGATCCCTGATGTAATCCAACTGAAATAGGAAAATATTTGTTCAATCCTCCGAATACAAGCAACAACTATACTATACATATCTTTAATGTCTTGAATATAAGTCATATCAATACATTTCTTCTCTAGGACTCTCCAAAGGATATCTCTTGGAACCTTATCGTAAGCTTTTTCTAAATTAATAAAAATCATATGTAGATCCTCTTTATTCTTTTTGAACTTCTCCAACAAACCTCTTAATAAATGCATAGCTTCCATAGTAGACCAGCTCGTCATAAATCCTAATCGATTATGAGAAAACTTTGTTATACGTCTTAACCTATATTCAATTGCCTACTCCTATTATTTTAATGTATGACACATCAACTTAATTCCTCTATAATTTGCACACTATTGTATATCCACTTTTATTTTAAAAAATGGGAAATAATATTACCCTACTTCTTAGGCATCTTTTTAGTTTTTAAATTAATATTAAACAATTTAGTAAGCCAAGAAACTCTCAAATCTCCTAAATATTTCCACATCCCAATTAATATATCATTAGGTCCTACAGACTTTCTACTATTGGTTTTCTTTCAAGCCTCAACTTTTTTTTACTTATGAGATGGTAAAAATAAAATTTTTTATTATTATTAACGATATTAAGATCACTAAGATCGATTGTATTTTAGAAACTTCATTAAAAAGTTTGTCAAAATAACTCACCCATCTATGTTGAATATCATTTTCTAAGGAAAACACGTTTTGATTTCATCTTTAATACACTTTACTTGAGTTAATTCTTTACTTTTTTTTATGTTTGTTTGGCTAATTTATACATATATTTCTCACCATCTTTAATACCCAGTCTATTATAAAGATCACTGAAAGCATATTTTTTAGCGTCAAAGATTATTCTCTTAGACTCCATAAATGTCATTTTATATTTTTCCTAGTTCTCTAAGCTTTTAGATTTAATTCAATTTTGTAACATAAATTCTTATATTTTATTTTTTCTTGCACATTATTATCCCATCACCAACTTTTTTTATTCATATTTTTTTATTCTCTAAGCATTTCTTCAAGCACATCTTTTGTAATTTGCTTAATAATACACATTACTTTATCCCACATAGAATTTGCTTCTTCATGAATGTCCCAAATCTTAAAGTCTTGAGGTTTACTCATAAAAATAATTTATTTGTGTCTTTGAGGTGCCCCCATTTAATTCTACGATAATAATTTCTAGTATTCTTTATTTTACAACTCTTCAACTTAAAATCTAGAACTAATAATCGATGTTGAGTACTTAAATCCTTACTTGGAATGACGTTACGATATTTGCATTCGCGACTATCTCTTCTTCTCTTAAGAAAGCAATTAATTTGTGTTTTATTAAATCCATTTTTATAAGTAATATTATGCTCATCTCTTGACTTGAATAAAGTATTAATAATAATAAAATCATATGCTAAAGCAAAATCTAATATTACTCTACCATCTTCATTAATCACTCCAAAATCGTAGCCACCATGAACATTTCTAAAATATTCTAACAATCTACCTACATGACCATTTAAATATCTTCCAATAACAATTCTTTCTTCAAGATGTATCATTTGTATTAAGTCGTGTAAGTCATTCCAAAATTTTTGTTTATGATCTATATCTAAACCTAGTTGAGGAACATAAGCACTTATAATATTAAAAATCTTAGTATCAACAATAATCTTTAGGACTATAATTCTATCTCAAAAAATTTAATGTCTAAGTTATCAATTTCCTTTACATTTTCTTCAACTCATTTAGTTTCTAATCCATTTAGCTTTTTGAATATATAAGATATTTATCTTTCTATGAATCATAATATCAACTAATTCCATTAGTTTATATGTAAAAGTACTTATATTCCAAGATTCTATCTTAATATTAGTTTTATGAACCAACTTCTTTACCCGCATTTATTCGTAACGTGAGAACTCTCACTTATTTGACACTACACCCGAGCGTCGGTGTCGCGACCTTTGCACATTTTTAACTATATTCAGGTCAATACACAGTGTAGTTTCCAAGGGATACTCTAATATTTACACAATAATTAAAAGGATTATTGTCATGATTTTTTGACAAATTTTACGCTGGTTGTCGACTAACTAACACAAATCTTCATTGTTCTCATCCGGAGCTTGAGACCCGACAATAACAATGGAAATATCGGTTGCGAAATTCTTAATAAGATCATTATAAAAAAAAAAACTTTTTTTTAATATAAACGAGCACCATCATTCTCTATATGATCAAAAAAGATATCACTACAATGAAAATGAATAAAATATAGTCACTATCAATTAAAAATCATACTGCAATCTTATAGTTACCATCAGGGGTGTCAAAAGCTGTAAACGAATGAAACGTGAACAAGTTTTTGCTCGATCCTGTTTGGCTTTTGGCTCGAATTAATTAAATAATAAATAATTAATATATAAAAGTTAATAAATGATTCCAAAAGTTTTGTTTATAAAGAGGTAAAGAAGAAAAAACAGATCACAGTAACTAGATAAGAATTGGGTGGTAGGTGTGCAAACACCCATAAGATTTAAAAAATAAATAAAATTTAGGTGTTGTATATGTATATAAATAAGAATTATGTATGTAAATGCCCAATTTTCCAAAAATCTCATGGCTTGGCTGTTGATGCTAGAGATGTAAATACAAAAGAATTGGGTGGCATTTATGTAAATGCCTTATTTTCCAAAGATCCACCAGCCCCAACTTGTCCCCATTTGGTTTTGTGACTTTTGTCCCACATCACCAGATTCAGAAAAGCTCTTTTATTGATCCTCTACAAAAGCATTAAAAAAACTAAAGAGAAACCTATAGATTTCTTTGCTTAAAAACTATATTTATTTTGAAATTTTTGTTAGTGTTGATATTCGAGTAGTTTAATTTAAACAAAATATAATGTAAACGTGCCCGAACAGGATCAAGGCAAAATCATACTGCAATCTTATAGTTACCATCAGGGGTGTCAAAAGCTGTAAACGAATGAAACGTGAACAAGTTTTTGCTCGATCCTGTTTGGCTTTTGGCTCGAATTAATTAAATAATAAATAATTAATATATAAAAGTTAATAAATGATTCCAAAAGTTTTGTTTATAAAGAGGTAAAGAAGAAAAAACAGATCACAGTAACTAGATAAGAATTGGGTGGTAGGTGTGCAAACACCCATAAGATTTAAAAAATAAAATAAAATTTAGGTGTTGTATATGTATATAAATAAGAATTATGCATGTAAATGCCCAATTTTCCAAAAATCTCATGGCTTGGCTGTTGATGCTAGAGATGTAAATACAAAAGAATTGGGTGGCATTTATGTAAATGCCTTATTTTCCAAAGATCCACCAGCCCCAACTTGTCCCCATTTGGTTTTGTGACTTTTGTCCCACATCACCAGATTCAGAAAAGCTCTTTTATTGATCCTCTATAAAACCATTAAAAAAACAAAAGAGAAACCTATAAATTTCTTTGCTTAAAAACTATATTCATTTTGAAATTTTAGTTAGTGTTGATATTCGAGTCAAACATGAGTTTAATTTAAACCATGATCAAGGCATAGGCTCGCACACGATCAAGGCCCTTGGGCTCGCTTGAGTTCTGCTTGTTTACACCCCTAGTTGCCGGACCTAGAAGTAGCTCTAATACAAAGATTGTGGCTTTATGGAAATGGATGTGGCATAAGTGAAAATTATAGTGCAAGTCTCATGAGAAACAACAGCATATAAATGGTTGTGCACACAATATAACGTGCGTAGTACTGATGTAATATTTCTTCTATAAATGGTTGTGCACACAAGCACACAATTATTATAGGTGAGAGCAACTTCATAAATGAAGGTTGTGGAATAAATAGTAGATATGTTGGCCCATTTATAAGCTTTATCAAATTATTTATATATTATTCATGGCATGAAAATCTCCTAAACTGAATTATTAAATGCAAGTTATTTAATATATTTTTGGGGAAAAAACTTTTCAATCTTTATTTGGAATATTTCTAATAGCCATTAATAAATGAATGGAGTAGATAACATCTTTAACCGATGACTCGAGTATACCATATTTTATATCTTCGTGACTTTCACTCAATGAGAAATCAATGATATTATATTGAAATTGCATTTAAGTTTGTAATTAGTGCTGTTAACGATCAAATTTGTTTCCAAAATTTTAGCTCATAGCTCAGCTCATTTATTTTTATCAATTTTCGAGTAATCAAAGATCTTCAAGCTAGACATACTAAATTCACAACCCTAACATTACTGGAGCTGTCAACAATACGATTTCGAGTCGAGCTAGTGTCGGCACGAAAAAAATTCAACTAAAAATTTTAGCTTATAGCTCGACTCAATTATTTCAATAGTCTTAATCCGAATCAAAATTAAAAACAATTTTAGAATAATTAAGAATCTTCCACCTAAATTTAAAACAATTCCGAAGTTATCTTTATTTATTTCAACTAATGCGCTTACGCAGGCACTAATCCATACCTTATCCGTCTTCCGTACCTCCCAACTAAAACTCTCTGTAATTGACCATTTTCTTCACTTAACAGCTTCAACGTAATGCCACGCCATTAAAATACAACAGCACGCATCACTTTCTCCGTCGGCCACTCTTTCGTTCTCATCCAATCTCGACGAGGGGAAACAGAAAGCATAAATCCTAATTCTGCGATCACCTAAATCCACACATTTCTCCCATTTCCGGGAATGGCCCACGAAGAGCTTCCCGTCCCGACTTTCTCCTCACTTGAGCCTGTCTACGGCGAGGGTTCGCCGCTGGAGGAGGCGCAGTTGCGGTTCCAGCGGATCAAAGCTAAGTTCATCGAGGTGTTCGGCAGCGAGCCGCATGTTTACGCCCGATCGCCTGGTTTGTATGATCTATGTTGCTGGTAATTGGAGGAAATTAGGGGAATGGTTGAGTTATGATACTGTCGGTGGATGCAGGGCGGGTGAATTTGATCGGAGAGCATATCGACTATGAGGGATATTCGGTTTTACCGATGGCGATTTGGCAGGATACAATTGTAGCTATCAGGAAGGCGAGTGACGAGGAACCGAGGGTGCTCAGGATTGCGAATGTGAATGATAAGTATACTATGTGTGCTTATTTCGCCGATCCGGATCAGGTAGTTTTAACTCTTACACGATTTTCTTGCCGATTTTTCTCTAGTTTTTTGTATTTATGGGGCTTTACATGGTAGTATTATTCTGCACTGGTGATTGATGTCTGATTCATTTTCTTCAGGATGTTACAGTCCTGTTTGCAATGATAGTTTTCTACTTTCATGAATATGATCTGAATGCAGAAATTCGTTCTATGCAGGAAGTTGATTTGAAGAAACACAAATGGGGACATTATTTCCTTTGTGGGTAAGCTTTGCTTGATCATTTAGATCCCGATTTTTTAACATGCATGAGATGGTAGAAAAAAATTTAACATATGAGTATACAATTCTTAATGCCATAGTAGAATTTAGAATTTAAGCGTTATTAATATCTGATTCTTGAGTCCACAATTAGGAGAATAAATAGTGCTACGAATCTAATTACAAGTACCGCAAGACAAGATGTACCTGGAATGCTCTATTCCTTCTCTTCTTTTTTTTTTTTTTTCTCTATAGTTAGCGGTTCTCCTTATTCTTTATAGGAAAGTAAGTGAAAAAATGTGTTGAGGGGAAACCTAGCCATTTAATGTCGTAGAAAAACCAAAATACTTTTCATCAAATCATCTATTGGACTTGGAGCCTGCTTTATCAGAGCATTTTTACGGGCCGAAATAAAATAATGTTAACACAATTAGCTAAATTTCATCAATTTCCTACTCGGTATACATTATTTTATAGGAGCCAGGGTCCAATAGAATATTTGATATCGAATCATAGAAGACCAACATCAATCAACAGTATAGTAGCATCCATAATCACAATATCATTCAATTCCGTTGGCATGAACTTGATGTGGTAGTCTAGTTAAGAATGCCAATGCTTCTTAATGGCTATTTTATATATTACTCTTCATTTTGAATTCACTTTATTCTCTTCTTTATATTGCTCTCACATGTAGGGGCTAAATCAATATATTTTTTGAGGTTGAGAAAGCTTTTTAGTTTTTGTCACAAATTAATGGTCTGTTTGGGGCAGCTACAACTTATTAATAAGCTGCTGATAAACAGCTAATCCAGATAAGCTGCTGATCAACAACTGATCCTGATAAGCTGGTTGGTTGTTTGATTTGCTATTATAAAATAGTTGCTTTGCAGCTGTTTCTGGATAAGTGACCATTCTGCCACTGTGCAATAATATTGTTTGCAACAAAATTGTCATGACAATATATTTGATACTTGAGAAGTAAAAAATCACTTCAGAACAATACAAAAAATAAGATATACACATCACTTAACAGTAAATATCAATATTGCTAAAAAAAATAATTAAAATTATAATTAAAAATATGATAATATTAATTTTAAATTACAGACAGCGTATATCATGACTTACTTCATTCTCCAAGTATACCATCTAACCCCGATCACTATCGACAGTGGAAACTATCGGACTGTCTGTCCATTGGAAGAAGTCACATTTCTCCGTGATGCTCCATAGACACCTATATAACTGTCTCCCATAGTTATGTGCTCGACGTGATTTCAGTAGGGAAGTCTGTAGTCTGTAGTCTGCAGTGGCTGAGCACTCGTCGGGAGGTCCCTAAAATCCTAGAGCTCATATTCACTAAATGATTCAAAAGACAATCCATTAGCATAACATAAGCATAAATTGACAAAAGCAGTAGTCAATTACAGTTTTGTGCAGACGTGAGGTTTTAGAGAATTAAGTACACCAGCCTAACCGAACTTGTCACAACAAGAAGATAACATACCTTATAAAATAGAGGTTCTCAGTTGCCTTTAGCTCACTTAATACCAAGCTCGTGTATCACATATGCACCAAAAAAAGGCCATCAAAAAGTATCTCAAAAACTCTGGCATTGAAAAAAAGAGAGGAACTTTGTTGACTTTATCGAGATTTCATATGCGACACCAACCAACAACGACTGACAGACCATCCAGAAGAACCCTCAAGGTCGTATGTCTTATCATGAATCTCACAAACCCACAAAAAAAACAAAAAGTAATCGAAGGAGAATCACAAACCCACAAAAAAAACAAAAAGTAATCGAAGAAGGAGATACAAAAAGTAATCGAAGGAGAAAAACAATTACAAATAGCATAAAAATTACGATATGTAAAATATCAATAATCAATTGAACATAAAATAAACATGGACTTTATAAATTGACAAAAAACAACAATTACGGTTTTGTGCGGACGCGAGGTCCTAGAGAACTAAGTACACCGACCCACCAAACATGTCATAACAAGAAAATAACAAACCTTATAAAATAAGGGTTCTTGATTGCCTTCAGATCACTTAATATCAAGCTCTTGTGTGCCACATATGCAACCACAAAAATAAAAGACCATCCAGAAGTACCTCAATACCGCCCACATCGAAAAGAAAAGAAGAACTTGGTTGTCTTTATCAAAATTTCACATATGACACGAACCAACAATGACTAACACTCCATCCAAAAGTACATTAAAAACCCCAACATCGAAAAGAAAAGAGAAACTTGATTGCCTTTTGTTGGGATTTCACATGTGACACCAGCCAACGACATGTGACACCAACCAACGATGACTAACAGACCATTCAGAAGAACCCACAAGATCGAACCTCTAATCGTGGATCTCATAAACCTACAACAACAAAAATAAATAACGAAAATTAATCGAATAAGGAGAAAAATAATTACAAACAACATAAAACTTACAATATCTAAAACTCACAAACCCACAGCCATAGACACAACCCACATCCCACAACCATAACCAAAACCGCAGCCTCCACAACCCTAACCACACCACGCCACAACCCACATCAAGACTCATAACAAGCACAACCCCACACCACACACACACACACAACATCACAGACACACCCACAACCACAACAAACAACACCCAACCACAGGCCACAACCCACACACTGATGAAGTACCCACAACACCACATCCTCACACTGCTGTACATCAATGAAGCACCCACAACATACAAAACCCCACACTGCTGTACATCAATGAAGCAACACACTCAAACTTCAATGAAGCACCACAACCCACAACCCACTCCTAATTTGAGACAGTTTAATACAGGGCACTCCAACGCTGTCGTACACCAATGAAGCACCCACAATACACACATCCCACAACCTAAACCTCAATGAAACACCCACAACATACACACACCCACACTATTATAGATCAATGAAGCACAACACCCAAACCTCAATCAAGCACCACAACACCACAACCACACACCAAATTTGAGGCAATTAAATGCAGGGCACCCCCAATACAGTCATACACTAATGAAGCACCCACATCACACACACATCACAACCCAAACCTCAATGAAACACCCACAACACACAACCACACAATGCTATGCATCAATGAAGCACCACACCCAAACCTCATTGAAGCACCACTGCCACAACCCAAAACTCATTTGAAGCACCACTGCCCACAACCCAAACCTCATTTGATTGCATTTCACATAACCAGTTTTGAAACATAACCAGTTTCATATAAGCATTGTAATCTAACCAATCCACATAACAGACATATAAGAAGTATATATAATTGCATTTCCTCAACACTACAATCCAAAATCCTCAGCACTACAATCTAACCAATGATTACCAGTCATCATATGTTCTTAAATAAAAATATAAAGAAGCTATTTGTCATAAAATATGCATTAATACCGACCATCATTCTCATTGCCTGCAAGTGCAAGATAAGCAAAGGAAAAAAGACCGTAGAAGATCTTTAAAAATGACTATAACCAACACCATTCCAAAAACAACATCTCCAACATTTCATAGTACACCAAAACAAACTAACAAAATAATATGCTTCTTAAACAAAGAAAAAAAAATTTCTTGATGGTTGTGATGAAGAATAAATTCTTTATGGTTGCATATAATCATGCTGCGGAAACTAAAAAACCAACCTTCAACTAAAACAATCACTCCTGTGAGGACCACAAAATTCCATCACACAAGTAAAGCCCAAAATCACAAGTTAGTGAAAGCCCTAAGTCAGAGAGCCATAGGAATGTGTAACAGAGAGCCATAGGAATGTGTAACAAAGAGCCAAAAATTAGAGAGCAAAAAATTGTGTAAAGAAAAGTTCTAACCCAACAAATTGCGAATCAGAGAGCTAAAAATCCCATAAAGAAAGCCATTCCATAGACGATTAACGCACGAATTATCACATATCACAGTAAATAGAGATTGGACGGAGGAGGAAAGGCAACACTACGTGCGAGAGAGACGCGGGAGAGGGAGAGAACACACTAGGGAAGGCGAGAGTTGAGAGAGACTCACGGGGGCAGCGAGATAATACACCCTCAAAAGAATGCGGTCTGTGGGATCGATCCTGTGGCTGCGTTTAATATGTAACTTCGATCGGGTTATTCTGATACGCCAACACAACGCACCAAACAAACGCGATAGGCAGCATTTTGAAAGTGTCTCACACCCAATAAGCTGCCCCAAACGAGCCCTAAGTCAAATACTTCTTTCTCATTACTTTTATTTTTTTCTTAGCAAAACTACTTATTTATTGATTATTACTTGTTTATTTTGTAACTTTTTAATAACAATAAAAAAAACTTTCAAGGCGGGCAATCAACCACCTTGGGTTGTACCTATGTCCACCTCCATTAACATGCTAGAAAAATACCTCATGATTTATTTATTAAACATGTATGCTTTATTAATGCATATTTAGATAAATCTTGAGTTAGATTTTATTTTTAAAGACATTGTTGGTAAGCGCATAAATTAAAGCTTTACACACATTGTTAAGCCTTTATGAAGCCATGCCATGTGTATCATTTGTAATAACTTTATGGTTGAATGAAATCATATGTGGGATAAAGTAACAAGAACCATTTGTTAAGTGACAAAAAATGTACTTGAGAATCAAAAGAAAAACTTTTTATAAGTAAAAATGGTTGGAGGTTGAATAATATTGTACTAGAAAAGATAAAATATAAAAAAAAATTGTTATAAAATTAGTTTAAATGTAAAAACTCAGAGAATTGAGAAAAATATAAGATAACCCGTTGGGAGTAAGAAAACAGTTTGTAATGCTAAGAATTTTTCTTTTATTCATTTTTTATAATAGATTTGATACTAAATAGGTTGAAAGATATATGTATAAACTAGTCAAACAAAAAGAAAATAAAAGTAAAATCTTAATTTAAGTAATGTGTATTAAATATGAAAATAAAAAAATGCTTT